TTTAAAAATAACAGAACACTTAATTAAATCAGTTTCCCATCAGCCCACAGAATACATGTAATGATTATATTGGCCATTTCCACTGGTTGGCAGGAGGTTCTTCTATTAATGGCTCCCATGGTTTCCACTGCAGCATTTTTCTTGCCAGACTTAGTTCAGTTTCAGCCTGAAGAATCACCTCTTCTATTTGGCCATGCTGAAGTTGCTCTTCTAATATTTTAACATCTGATTCCGCTTTAACCATTCCCAGTTTCTCATTTGTAATCTGCTCTGTATATTTTCTATATGCTGCATTTTTAGGGATTTGCTCAAGAACATAAAGAATCTTTGTGTACAATATTCTGAGCCTCTCCTGTGGACTCTCACACACAGACAATCCCACGAGGCCAGTGGTCTTCTTCAGCACACCCGCCATGACAGCGCCAAAGGGAACACCACATTTAAACCATAATACATTCCACGACAAACAAAACATAAAAGAATTTACAATGAGAAAACATACATTACAGAACAATCTTAGCAAAATATTACATGAAGAGGACATGGAGAAAACAATCAAAATCAGAAAAGGGAGGAAATACAATAAAGGAAAAGCCAATCAAGGGATAAAACAAGTCAAGTTAAAAAAATAAAACAAAATAAACATGAATACAAGTCATATTTTAATAATAATGCTGAATGTGAATGACATAAACTAACCAATGAAAAGACACAGATTGGCAGATTGGATTAAAAAACAAGACCCAAGGGCTGGGGTTGTAGCTCAGTGGTAGAGCGCTTGCCTCTCATACATGAGGCTCTGGGTTCAATCCTCAGTACCACATTAAAAATAAATAAATAAAGATATTGTGTCCATCTACAACTAGAAAAAAATTTAAAAAGACCCAATAATATGCTGTCTCAAAGAGGCTAATTTAATAGGAAAAGACATTCACAGACTGAAAGTGAAAGGATGGGAAAAATCACTCACAAGGACTGTGGAAAAAAGCAGTGGTTTCCATCCTCATATCAGATAAAGTGAACTCCGAACGAAACAGAAGGAATAAAGAAAAACATTTTATACTGCTTAAGGTAATCATGAATCTAAATTATATAACAATCATAAATATTTATCCCCCCAAGATGGAACATATATATATATATATAATATATATATATATATATATTCAAACAAACACTTCTAAATTTCAAGAATCAAATAGACCACAACAAAAGAATACTGAATGACTTTAATATACCTCTCTCACTACTAGACAAATGATTTTCCAAATAGAAAGGAATCAAAGAAGCTTAGAACTCAATAATATAATC